TTGAGGCATGGAATGCGTTCCTGGCAGAGCCCTGCAGAGCCCGGCAGAGCCCTGCAGAGCCTCACAGAGCCTAGCAGGGCGCAGGAGAGGAGCGCGATGGTGTCGATCGACAGCGCGCCGCATCGGCGTTCGTGGTCCTGGGTGCGCGTGCGTCGTCGGGTGGTGGTCCCACTCCCGCACGAGACGGCCAGCCAGCCCACTGGGCCACGGTGTGGCGCAATTCCATTTCTTCAGTGACTTGTCGCCGGCTCTGGTCATCGCCCGACGCTGCAGCAACCCCAGAAGTGCTTGCTACCTAGGTGTGAATCAGCAGGGCTGTTTACAGAGCGAGGTAGCGTTTTCCGGTGGCGTGCTTCACAAGCGAGTCCCGCTGGACGAGCAGACATCGATTTTTCTCTCTCGGTCCTGCTATCCGCAGCTTCCGAATCAGAGTTTCACTTTTCGTAACGCTTCAGGGTTCGACTACTTTCAGTTTGTTGCTCGTTTTTTAGTCTCTCGTAAGGGGGGTGACGGGAAGCTACTGATTCTGAGCGGAAGGGAGTGCGAAGAAGCCAGCAGCATGCCGACGCTTCTTGAGGATGCCGCGTACCTCGCCAAGATGGTGCGCTGCTGTGCCCGCTTCCGCTGCTGTGCCCCTCTCTCGCCAATTGAATTATGCCCTGTTCCGCTGCTCTCGTTTGTTTTTTGATTGACTTGATTTGTGCATGTTTCTTCTACGCTGAATACTTAGTCCATGTTTTCTTGTCTCTCTGCAGTTCGCGTCACTGGTCGCGATTGGTTCAGCTGCCGTCTTCTCTCTGCCGTTTCTCCTGCCCACTGCCTTCGTGTTCTCGCCTCTCGTAGGGGTGATTGCTGCGTACGGCTATCTCAAGGTATGACTGTCAGCAGTTGGAGCTGTTGTTAATCAATATAGTCAATCACAGGCATGTCGATATCATGACAGCTCTGATATGATGTAAATGGCGGCATGCAGCTTCAGTTCGGCACTGACCATCTCAGCACCACTCTACCTTTCTCTGTACCGCTCTCCACCACTCTCTCATCCCTCTGCGCAGTCCCGCTCGCCACAGCAGAAGCTGCTGCAGGGCCCCAGCAGCAGCGCGGGCAGAAGGCCGTGGCAGCCGTCCCCAGGCGTGCCAGGGAGGCACCTCCAGGAGAAACAAGCCGCTCTCCTACCACAGCCTGCCAGCACCAGCATGGACGTGCAACGGATTCCCCGCGTGACACGTGCAAGCGAGACAGCAGCAGGCGGGGAAAGGAACGAGGAAAGTGGACCGGGCAGCAGGGCTGGTGGATTCGGAGAGACTCAGGCAAGGGAAAGGACCAACCTGGATGCTGCCCGCCGATTCCCCCCTCCTCAACTTGCCTATCCGCTTCCTGCCCCTTTTCAAGCTGCCCCTCCTCAGGCTGCCCCTCCTCAGGCTGCCCCTTCTCAGGCTGCCCCTCCTCAGGCTGCCCCTCCTCAAGCTGCCCCTCAACTTGCCGCTCCTCATGTGGCTCCTACTCCCCCTGCTGGCATTCGAGCTCGTCCCTCAAGCCCGGAGTCTGTGCATGTAGCGGGGTATCCTAAAGCGAGGGCAGTGGCTGGGCTGGGCAGCTTGGAAGGACCTGCAGAGGCTGTGAGGCCGACGATGAGGATGAGGGTTCAGGCGATTGACTCTGCTGGGGCTGAGGAGGAGCTGGCAGGAGGGAGAGGGACAAGGGTGGGTGGATTAGAAGGGGTGGAGGAACAGCGGCAGGAGAGGGCGGAGGAGGAGGGAGAAGAGGAAGAGGAAGAGGGGCCAACACTGGTGCTTCATCACATTCCGAAGGTGAGTCGTTCCTTGAAAAAACATCATGGAGGTGCCTCTTTTCTGTTGCTGTGTGCCTGGCGTTTTTCAAGTTGGGATATGCCCGTTTACGAGTGTGTGTTTCAATGCTATTACTTCAAGTCTTGCTGATTCCAGCCTTGTTCCCGTGGTGTCCTTGTGTGCAGGAGTTGACTGGCGCCGCACGTGTCCGTGGGGTCGAAGCAGGCAAGACAGGAGAGATAGGCGGGGCAGAAGAGGCAGGAAAGACAGGTGCGACAGGTGGTGCGGGAGGTGAAGTGCCCGAGGAGGCGGCAGCAGCAGGCGTGGCAGGGCAGGAGGGAGGCAAACCCGAGGCAGAGGTGGAGGAGAAGCGTGTGGTGGATGTGCAGGGTGGGGAGGGATCAGAGGAGGATCAGTTGTTGATGGAGAAGGAAGTGCACGAGGAGGGGGTGCGGGTTGCCAGTGAAATAAAAAAGCTTGAGAAGGTGCTAGCTGGACGCACAATCCAGAGCCCTGGGTCTCCCCGGGAGGAGGCTGAGCTGCTGTGTGGTCTTCTGGGGGTGACCCCCCCTCCTCCACTGTCCCCTCAGCCAAGGTTTCCCAGGCAGGCACGTGCGTCGAGGAAGCAGACTGTAGAAGGGCAGCTGTGGGAAGTGCGCCGTGCCAGCCAGCTGGTGGAAGCAACCAAGGAAGAGCTTGGTGTTGCATGAGGCAAGGTTGATTGGAGGCATTTGTGTTTTGATGGTTACAGTTGTTTGGTGGGTTGTGAGAAAAGCTTTGATGTGGATGGTGTATCTCTCTAAGCGGTTTTTTTGGCAAAAGGTCATCATCGCTTTAGGTACATTGAGCGGATTGATCAATGATAATGAATGCATCCTGGTAGAACTTCTATGGCATGTTACCGTAATCCCCCGTATATAAGACCCTAGGGTATTATGATAATCACCCCTTAAAATGTTGGGCTGAGGTGCCCTAGGATCTTTGTAGAGTTAAAGTCTGAGTAGGATGATGTAATAGCGGAAGCGTTAAATAAAAGTCCTTGAACTGCGCTAGTATGTGAGGGCAAAGTAAGTTGATTAAAAACAAGCAAGTACAAAAGGTTTTTATAAGAGTACAAGGAATACGAATAGATATTATTAAACTGTTTTTGCTGTTGCGATTCGATACAGTGCGACTCGGGCAACTGCTCAATGTCGAGTCAGTTGTGTGTCCTTGCTGTCGCGCTGCATTTGTCAAGTCAAAGGTCGCTGACCTTTGACCTTCTCGTAACCTCCAGCGGTTACCCTAACCTCCGAGGGTTGACTCGTGATGCTTCGATTTGAGCTGCTTCGCTTGTGTCCTGAGTTTCGACACGACAGAGGCGTTTAGGACTTACCGTATCGCCCCGGATATAGGCGCCGTCCGATTAAAGGCGCCGGCGCTTCTATCTGGAGCATGGCGCTTATGGCCGGAATTCGATTATAAGCGCCCCCCCTGAAAATGCTTTACTTATTATAAGCGCACGCCTAAATTTATTTTTCATTCCTGATTAAAACGGTAACGAACTTCATATTTCTAGCGAGTCACATCACATTTTCACTTTGTTTGACTTTCGCGGACCTCACTGGTTGCGCGTCCAGTCAGTATGAGCTGGCACGCGGGCAAAATGACGCGCCAAAGCTCAGTGCACCGTCAGAAATTCGCCCTCGCGCGATTCTGATTCTGGACGCTGTAAAGTTTTAATTCGGTTCAACTTACGAGACTGAACTGTACATGTTGGTGCGTTTGAATTGTATTTCTGTATTTGTCTTTATATAAGCGCCGGCGCTTATGGCCATTATTCAATTACAAGCGCCACCCTTAAAAAAATCGATTTTATTATAAGCGCCATGGCGCTTATATCCGGGGTGATACGGTATTGTTCCCAACACTCCCCTTCGCTTCTGGAGTGTCGCTGATGGTGACGTGGCTTTGTCCAGTCAGCAGCATGCAGTACTCGAACTTCTGTTTTCCGAGCTTCTTGGTCAAGTAGTCGGCTGCCATCTCGGACGTGGGACAGTAGGATAATTCGAGTTTCCCTTTCTTGATCTCGTCTTTCACGAAGAAGTATCGCAGGGCGATATGCTTCGTTCTGTTCGCGAATCCGCTCTTGTTGGCGATGCGAATCGCAGATTGGTTGTCGCAGAACAGGGTGAAGTTGGGTAACTCGGCTAACTTTGCTTCTTCCAGCAGCTCGCGAAGATAGAGTCCTTCCTTGGTGGCTGAGCAGAGGGCGATATATTCTGCTTCAGCTGAAGAGAGAGCGATTAGTTCCTGCTTGCTCGACTGCCAGGAGATGGGTCCGATAGGCTCGAGACGATAGATGTAGCCAGTGCGGGAGCGCCTGTTATCTGAATCGCCGGCATGATCGGCATCGACGTAGCCGATTAGTTTCGTTGACGTAGCTTCACTCTTGTAGTAAGTCAGGCCGATCGTCGGAGTGCTCACGAAGTAGTGTAGTGCGCGGTCGAGCTCCGCCAGGTGCTCTGCTTCGGGTCTCTTGAGGTAGGTAGCGAGTTGGCTTGCGGAGTAGGACAGATCTGGGCGGCAGGTGACGGCTGCGAAGAGGAGGCAGCTCAGCTTCCTCTGGTAGTCGCGTATTCCGGCAGTTTTGAGCGGAGCAGAATTTCCTTTGTCGTTTCCTACCGTGTAGCGGTATGGCGTGGCGATAGTGGTAGGTGTGAGCGAGAAGCGCTTGGCGATAGTGTCAGCATATTTCTCGGCGCTGAGGTAGATAGCATTCTCTTCTTCGCGGATGTTGAGTCCGAGGTACTGAGTGACGGTAGAGGAAACCGTGAGCGTGAGGTCCTTCTGCAGCTCCCCTTCGAACCAGGTGGTGATGTTGTCGGTGGAGCCGATGTAGAGTAGGTCGTCGACGTAGACGATCAGCAGGATGTAGTCGGTGTTTTTAGTGAGTCGATACATCCCTTGGTCGTGAGGTAGTTGGCGGAATCCGATGCGAGTGAGGCGGGTGTGTAGGTGCTGTTGCCACAGTCGCGGGGCTTGTTTGATTCCGTAGAGCGATTTCAGCAGCTGGCAAACCTGATTGGGTTTTCCGAGGGTACCGTTGTCAGAATATTATCTTATTGTTCTAGCCTGTAGTGGGGTGCTCTATAGCGAGTACAACCCTTCTAGGGTTTGCTATTTGTATCCTCATTCTTGCTAGTTCAACCCTCTTTCTTCTTCTAACTTTTGACAACCGTGTGGGAGCTCGACGAAGATTTCGGCGTCGACGGGTGCGTAGAGGAATGCGTTGGCGACATCAATTTGTCGTAATTTCTTCTTCTTCATGGCGGCGATGGCGAGAAGAATTCGGAGAGAGGTATGTCGGCTAACCGGGGCGAATGTCTCGGTGAAATCTCGTCCGTGCTCCTGGTCAAATCCACGCACGACCCAGCGTGCCTTGAACTTCTCGATTGTGCCGTCTGCTTTCGTTTTGATACGGAAGACCCATTTCTCGGTGAGAATAGTCTTGTTCCTTGCCACGCTTGCGGGAACGACTTTCCAGGTGTTGCGTTCCTCCAATGCCTTTAATTCTCTGAACCGTCGCAGGCTCTTTAGGAAGAGCGTTGCCGTGGACTGCGGTGACGAGGCCGAGAATCTGCAGTCCAGTCTGTGAGTAGCGGGGGAGTGTTGGATCCTCGGGATAAGCTGCTTCGTCTCCCGCTTCTGGGTCGGGTATGAAATTCGGCCCTATCCGTTCTGCTTCGTTTGTGTTGACTGACGCGGGTGTTATGTAACCGTTGTCGGCGAAGTGATAGAAGACTTCGGCGTTGACACTGTCGCGAGGATTTTCTTCGTCCATTGGGAGCGTCGACGGAGCAGAACGGAAGAGGTCCGACTTCTTCCGATGCGTTGTCGATGTTCTGTTCATCCCAGTCTGCTTCGTCCGCTGCTGAGGCGAAGGCTCGATCACCACGAAAACCACCTGTGGGGTCCTGATTCTCGTGCAAGTTGGCGAGGTACGTCTGAAGGGTGAGTCGCTCGTAGAAGATTACGTCACGTGCTGCTACTGTTTCCTTTGAGTGGACGTCGAAGATTTTCCACGCGTTGTAATTCTTTTCGATGCCGAGGTGTAGTCCCCACTGTGCCCGTTGTGAAAATCTTCCCGCTCGTGCTTCTGGGGGTCGGTACTGTACCATGCATCCGAAAAACTCGTAACATTCTTGTGCTGCCCTGCTTCCCTGTCCACAGCAGATGCGGTGATGCGTTGTTCGGGAGTGAGGACGACGACAGCAAGTTGTGCAGCATGACAGCATGGTCCATTGCTGCAGGCCACTGGTGGTTGGGTAGCCGCATGCCACGTAGCAGTTTGCGCATGCTATTCTGCAGAGTCCTGTTCATTCTTTCTGCGACACCTTGCTGCTGATGGGCGTAGGGAAGGGAGAGGAGTTGCTTGATTCCCCTTTCCGCCAGGTACTGCTTGAAGCGCTGAGAGGTGTATTCTCCTCCTCCGTCTGACTAGAAGCTTTTCAGCTGTGTTCCTGATTCTCTCTCTGCTACCGGTGGCCAAGCGGCGAACGCTGCGAGTGCCATGTCGCGGCTGGGTAGGTTTCGGTGCCAGACGTATCGAGTGGCGGCATCGATGAAGGTTATCGTGTGATTGTAGGTAACTTGTCTTGGTTCTCGATTGAAGAGAATATCGCTGTACACCTTCTTGAGTGGTGCGTACGCGGGTGCGCTCGGGTTGTGGTGAGAAGCAAACGGTCGATGGGGTAAGTCGGCTTCGGGGCAGATGAGGCATGTTCCTCGTGCCCGTTGAAGTTCTCTGCCGTCGGGTAGCAGTAGTGAATCCTTGTCTAGGACTCCTGCTCGTATTGTATTATTTAACACTGTATTGCTTGGGTGTCCTGTGCGTGCATGCCAGATGTCTTCAGGAGCGCGATGTCCGGGTGAGCGTTGGTACGCGTCGGAGTTGGAGTAGAAGCTGGCGACGAAGTTAGCGCTTTTGTGGACTTCTCGTTGAGTCGGGTTCAGTTGCTGTGCGGGTTTCGGTGGTGCTTCGTCGACGAGGACTGGTGTCCTTGGTCCTGCTGCTGCCGATGTTATCTCTGATGCTGCCGTTGTTGTCTCTGCTGCTGTCGATGTTGTCTCTGCTGCTGTCGATGTTGTCTCTGCTGCTGCCGTTTGTTGAATTGTTGCTAACGCGCGTGTTCGTTCTGCCTCAGGGATGGTGTACGAGTACCAGAAGCCTCCCGGGCTGAAGTCGGGATCGAGATCCGGGGGATGTGTCCAATCGGCGAAGTTGACGATGGCATCGCTGTCTGCAGTGCCCAGGTCTGGGACGAAATCAAGAACGAAGATGTTGTTTTTTAAAACTGCCCTTCCGATGTAGAGACCGCCCTTCCCGTGGTACAGCTTAAACTCCTGGGTGGTGCTGTCGGCTTCCAAGTGGATGCCTTTCGCCATCAGCTGGCTGACACTCAGTAAGTTAAAGCCGAGTCCCTCCGCGATAAGTACCTTCGACATGTGCAGTATAACGTTTGTTTCTCGTGACTGAAGTTGTACTACTCCTTGTCGTCGTGTGCGCAGGTTCTGGTTGTTGGCGACCGTGATGACTACTTCTCGCTGAAGTCGATGTTCGCATTGAACGAAGCGTCCTGAGGAGCACATATGTTGCCCGCAGCAACTGTCCAAGAACCAAGTATCTTGTCCGGACGGTTCGCTTTGAGCGATGGCGGTGTACGTCGGG